CAGCGCTCGCCGCCAAATCCATATATGCATCCTCCGAACTCCACAGCCAATCCAGAGGCGCATACCGCGGATCTCCGTACTTCCTCTGCAGCATAAAGGACTTTCTGGCTACAATATCCCCGGCTTCCCGCAGCTCCTCCTTCTTTGCCCTCATAGCAGAGCGGAGGTCTTTTCCCGTTACAGCAGCCTTCTCAAGGTCCGATGCCTTCGCCTGGTCTTCCTTTTCAAGAGCCTGGCAACGGTCTACGTCGGCTTTTAATTCTACGGCCATATTAGCCATCTTCTTCCGGCTCTCGCCATGTGCGGCCTTCTCGGCTTGCAACTCTTCGGACGCCTTCAAAGCAGCCGCATTACCCAATCTTTCTTGTTCCTTGGCTCGGGCAAGTTCCGCCCGCAAGGCTTCAACAGTGGCAGCTCCATCTGCAGTCATAACATGTTAAAAACACTGGCATCATGCTCTTCCTATTTGGCGTTTACCAGACAAGGATCCTTACCCTACGCCTCGTCAAGCCTTCTGTTAACAAGCTCAATGTCGGCATCTGCCGCATCCAACCGCCGTTCTAAACGGGCAAACTGGCTAGTCCGGCTGGCTACCAGAGCTTCCATCTCCTGCACATAAAGGCAGTATGGTTATTACCTGGGAATATGATCCTCCGTTCGTCATCGTTTCCGATGACAACCAGAGTCTCAGGGGCTATTATCTACACAGGGCACACCTAGCATGTGCAGGACTATTACACATCCCTTTTCACGTACCTCAAAGCCTGTCAGTAGACTCATAAAAGCTTCATGCAATCCGCTTTCGGCGGACGATATCCTCTCCATCACCATATTCATCAGCACATGGTGATCATCTGAGATGGCCGCTCGCCCCCACCAACTCCCTCAGAACGTCCGATCGCACACTAGACGGCGACGGACTCTTTTGTCTACCCTCTTCGGGAGCCGGACACTGGGAGCCTCGGGGATCGATTGGATCACCTTCTGGCCTCTCCGCACTCGGAGAGGCCCTCCGCGACGACACTTCAGGGTCGCCTGCTTCCGGAGCGGAGGAGTCTGGAGGAGGCGTCTCGCTCTCCATCATCTCCGGAAGAAGATCCCCCGAAGACGAACTCATTTGAGAGGGGCTAAGGCCCGAACTGCACAAATACATGTGGTGGTTATTTTCTCAGAAGGAAAAATATGGCATATCTGTACCACTAAAGTTTTCGGGTCATTTACGACTCCCGGGAGAATTGATCCCCTCGTGGACTTTGTACGGCAGCACCGCCCCCCGAGGTAGGGCCCCCGGTAGAAGATTTCTTCTCCCGTTTGGAAGCTTCGGCTTCCGAATTCCCGGGCGCAGTCCTTTTCCTTTTCCGGTCGTCTTCCTTCGTGGAGACGCTCGCTCCCTCGGTTAGAATAGGCAGCATTGGGGGCCCGCGTCCTCCCGCGTTACCCTCCACGGTATCTTCCTTCAAGGGATTCGGGCAAGGTGCGGTCTGGAGCATCTTTTCCAATACCGGATTCTCCAAGCCTTCAGGGAGGGGGGCCGAACACCGAATCAATTTCGCCTTTGTTAGCCAGTCCTGGTCGAAAAAGCAAACTCACAATAACTTCACAACGAAGGAACGATAATGTGTTTGGCCGGAAGATTCTTTACCTGTTCGGCGGCGCGGTTACTGCTCAGGCCCACGTCCTCGGTGATTTCCGGACACTCTACTTTGTGTCCGAAGAATGACTTATACATATCCTCGTGCGTCAGGCCGAGAAAATTTTGAATGGCACGCGGACCCTCGGGATTGAACTCCCACAAGCGAAGGTGCCGACATTTGCAGGGCTGGACTTGACGAACCAACATAACTTGTATTACCGCGACCAAGCTGAGGTCTCCGTTGAAGAGATCTCGAATGTGGCTTTACAGTAAAGGCACGTCCTTGGCTGGACCCCAGCCTAGTCCTCTGCTGATCCATGACATTAGTTGTGATGGAGGGCCCGAGCGAAAAACGGGGGCGGTCGCCCACTTGGCACTTCTAGGAGTCGTGACGTAGAACCACTCCTGTTGCCACAATGCAGACACCTCTGGGATGGAACCTTTGGGCCACGGAGTTCCCGTCATCTTGCGTATTGAGGCGCCTCACTCTGCATGTTGCCCTTCGATCACCGTCGGCTTTATTTCAAAGGTCTTGAGCCATAAGCCGAAGTGGGGGGTAACCCAGAGGAAGGCCTAGCATACGACAACAAAAGTCGTGATATGCAGGAAGGAATCCGGAGCTAGATCATGGAAATCTAGCCCGTAATAAAACATCAAGCCCCTGACGAAAGGATCCAGTGCAAAATCTAGACCCCGGAGGAAGTGGGGGACGAACACAACGCTCTTGTTGGGTTTGGGAGAGGGGACGGCCTGCCCCCGGAGAGGCAGCCGATGCGATATTTCGGCGGTTAGATACCTGGCCTCCCTCAACTTTTTGATGTCTTCTTCCGTGACGGAGGAGGGCATCAATCGGCCTTGAAGGTTGGATTCGGACATGACTGAAGGTTCGGAGCACCTGACCTGAGCTCTGGGCGTTTGAGCTTGAGGCGGGGGAAGGATTCGATTGAGCACGGGAGGGAAAAGTAAAAGCTTTGCCCCTTTATAGAGAGGGTGGATATCAAGCGTCCTCCCCGTGTCCGTTTGGACTTGCCTATGATCTAGGAATCCTAGAAGCAGTTGGGTTATCCACGCCCATATTGATGATAATCCCGTAATGAGGGGACACGATCTCTGCTTTGACAAGACGTGCCAAGGAAATCGCCTCGCATAACGGGCTGAGGTGGGATAGTGAAACGATTTGGATAAAGGATTGGCCGTGGCGTGTCGCACCACGGAATACGTCAGCAGATTAGATTTGTGTTAATATTATTATTCTCTCTATGGCAATATGTGGAAACTTATTTTTCAGAGCCGGACACTATCTTTGTGTTCAAGATCTTCTATGAAGTATTTGGAGGAGGAACCCGCCTTGCAATGCCGAAGACAATTTGCGCGCGGGACTCGTCGTCATTGAAGCCTGGTTCAGGGGCTACTGAGGGACTCCTGGATTAGGGGGTGTTCGGATAGCCGAACTATACCTTCAAGCCGGACTCCTGGACTATGAAGATACAAGATTGAAGACTTTGTCCCGTGTCCGGAAGGGACTTTCCTTGGCGTGGAAGGCAAGCTTGGCGATACGGATGTTCAGATCTCCTACCATTGTAACCGACTCTATGTAACCCTAACCCTATCCGGTGTCTATATAAACCGGAGGGTTTTAGTCCGTAGGACAAGATACACATCAACAATCATACCATAGGCTAGTTTTTAGGGTTTAGCCTCCCTGATCTCGTGGTAGATCAACTCTTGTAATACCCATACCATCAATATTAATCAAGCAGGACGTAGGGTTTTACCTCTATCGAGAGGGTCCGAACCTGGGTAAAACTTCGTGTCCCCTGCCTCCTGTTACCATCCGGCCTAGACGCACAGTTCGGGACCCCCTACCCGAGATCCGCCGGTTTTGACACCGACAGTTAGCTACTCTGCCTATTCCGATGTGGGCTTTATTAATTTAAGGCCGGACGCTTCCAGCGTCTACATTCTAAAAAAAAAGGAGCTGGCACATTCGCAATGAAGTAATTCACCATAAACCAGCCCCGGCTCAGGAGGTATCTATCCGTTTTCTTCAAAACTACCTAGACAGCCTGATTGGTATTAAGGTAAATGGCCATATGGATCCGGGGAAGGGGAAGACCATCATATCTTATGAACGGCCGTATGTGCCTACAAGTGCACCAGCGGAAATTCCAGTGTGGCTACCTCCTAGTAAGGGATGGGTTAAACTAAATACACACAGCTCGTACGTTTCGAGTGATGCAGCGGGTGCGGGAATGATACTGCGAAATTGTAAGGGGATATAATTTTCTCAGCATGCAGAGTTTTATATGCTTGTAGGGACGCATTGGAGGCAGAATTATGTGGATGCATGGAGGGGCTCTCGTCATCACTTCAGCGTTCTGATCTTTCTATAGCCATTGAGATGGATTCGCTCTCAGCGGTTGCTATGATCTCAAGTGGAGTGGTCGATCGTTTTGTTTATGCTTCCATGATAAAGGAGATTAGATACCTTCTGAGTCTTAGACATATTTGTATTACTCATGTTTTGCGATCCTAAAATAAGGTTAGTGATAGTTTAGCTAGTCTTGGTAGGGTCCATGGTAGAACCATGACTTGACTTGGTTCCTGTCCAGATGAGGTGCTGGAGATACTTCGTGATAACTGTAATAAAATTTGGTGATTGAGTAATACAAGTATTTCTCTCACGAAAAAAACTAAATATTCTTAAAAATATGTAAGATATTTGTTACTAAGAGATCATCTTTTAATTAAGATAAGGCAAAGTTTTTTTCTTTCTTTTCCTCCGCCTCTACATTTATGCTATGTGGCACTTTTAAGATAGCATCGCCTCTGCATTTATGCTAGATAATACTATTATACATGCTCTTATGAATGTAACTTGGGCTTTCCGAAATACAAGGGCCGAAGCGAGAGAGCAGCCAATGCAATTAAAATAATCGTAACTTGTGCTCTCTAGGATACTGTGCCTAACGCTGGTTATAGCAGGGAGTAACTTAGGCTAATAACATTCATATGTGTGATGTCATGCAATACTTCAATTATTAGGTTGTAAACTGATATTATGTTAATACTTGCCTTTTTTTCTCATTAATTACTTATCAGGTCATCTACTTTATCTAGATAGTGGGGAGTATTTAGAGCAGCAACATGCATATGTTACCGTGGGCAGTGCTAGGAATCAGACTACTGATGTTTAGCATCCTATCAGACTACTAGTCCACCCTTAGATTGATGCAGCCAGGACCGTGTGATTGAAGAGGTGGGCCTAGGTAGTTAGTTTGCATGTTGCACTAATTGTGTTTTGTTTATCGTCAACTGCTCACCAGAAATAGACCTACATTTTTTTTGAAATAAACCATTAGCTTTATTAATTGCAAATAACAGTTGCATCGTCCATAAGAAGAGGTACAATTTCATCCATGGGCTCCCCAAAATAGTCATTTGTCACAGAAATTTTTGCTAATCTGGCTAGTTCATGAGCCACCTTATTTGCTTCCCTATTACAATGTTCAAACCTAGTAAGAGGGAAATCACATGCCAAAAAATAGCAATCATCGAAAACCGCCGCCGCCGCTCCCGCTGATTGTCCTCCATTCTTCATTGTGTTGATGACTTCAATATTGTCTGAGTTGACATGAAGGCGATTACATCCCGCCCTCTGTGCAAGTAATAAACCAAACCTTAGGGCCAAAATTTCCACTGTCAGAACATCCGCACACCAGTCAAACTTTCAGTTTCCGCCAGCAATAAATCTTCCTTTATCATCTCTGAGAACAACCCCAGCTGTACCACTAAGCTGATCATGATCAAACGAAGCATCAACATTCAGCTTAACAAGTCCCACAGGAGGTTTGCTCCATTCTCCTTTTTTAATAGATGCATTAGGGGAATGGGCATTTACATAGTTTGTTGTTATTGCCCTAATCCCCATGGAGGATTGTTGTGCGTTTTGAGCCTTACCTTCATGAACCAGCCTACGTCTATCCCACCATAAATACCAAGTGGTTATAGCTATTAGTTCACGTACATTCTGGATTCCTAGAGTAGCTATTTCATTATCTGGCTTCAGAAGTAAAAATTCTAGGATTGCTTCTCCTGCCCTATCAATAACACATGCTTCTTTAATCACCCTGCTCATCCCCAGTTTGTTCCAAACCTCTTTTGCCTCCTGACAGAGGAACAATACGTGTTTCGTGTCTTTCGGTTCATTCGTGCATGAGGGGCATATAGGCGAGACCTTCATGTGTCTATTGGCCAGTGTAACACGACATGGGAGGGTATCATGCAATGTACGCCAAATATTGCCAGACAAGACAATTTCCAAATCTTTTCCCAAATAGGGTTGACATTGATTCTACCCATGCCGTTTATATACTGCAATTTCTTTCCATGTTGTTGGTTCCATTCCTCCAAATAGGCAGATCGAACAGTGAACAAACCATTTCTCGTAAAACTCCACGCAATGAAGTCTTCCATGGTATGCATAGGAAGGGGAATGGCGAGGACTCTTTGAGCATCAATCGGCCACAAAGTTTGTCTCACCAAGTCTTCGTCCCAACAATTCATAACTGGATCAATGAGACCAGCTACCTTTGACAAAAGTTGCCCTCTTCTAGGGGTAATAATTTTCCTATCCGTACTGTGAGGAATCCATGCATCTCTCCAAATATCATTTTTTTGACCATTTCCAACTAGCCAAATATAACCATTTTTCAGTGAGTTAACTCCCGCCATAATGCTTTGCCAAGTAAAGGACGAACCCTTCTTTAAACTTGCACTCATCAAGTCGCCATCAGGGAAATACTTAGTTCTCAAAATAGTGGCACATAAAGACTCCGGTTTATCAATAAGACGCCATGCTTGTTTGGCTAACAAAGCCAAATTGAAACAATGTATATCTCGAAAGCCCATGGCTCCTTGGTTTTTTGGTACACACATCTTCCACCATGCCATCCAATGCATTCTCTTCTGATTGTCCTCGTCACCCCACCAAAAATGCGACATCGCGTCAATGATTCCTTTACAAATTCTTTTAGGAATTTTAAAGACGGACATAGCATATGTAGGTATAGCTTGAACAACAGAAATAGACCTACATCACTTTAGTAGTAAAATCCTCCTTGCTGCTTCATCCGTACACACGTTGAAATGTGCAATAAACTGGGAGAAACTGGTGCGTCTAATGCATGCTGCTGGCCAATTTTTTGTGACTGGGAAGCACATACTATGATATATGAAAACACGTTCTATCACTTGAATAATTCATTTTGCTTCCATTTCCTAGCAAATTTGCTTCCATATCAACAGGAGATTGTTTCAATCCGGTGAGATTTGTGTCCAGCGCGACCATTTGTTTTGTTTAGATCGACTAGAGGAAATTTTGTTTCGAATGACCATAGAGCTGCCACCAGTGCAACAATAAAATGCTTCCAACAATACAAATATATGATTCCATCAAACACCTTTTTTACCATTGTTATTATTGGCGTTTAGAAGAAATTAAATTGGGACTTTGCTTCCAAAGAATTTGGTATTTGCATCCAAAGGAATGGGAATTTGCTTCCTAATTTTTTTGTATTTGCGTCCAAAGAAATGGGAATTTGCTTCCTAAAAATTTGGCCTTTGCATTCAAAGAAATGGGAATTTGCTTCCAAATAATTTCGAATTTGCATCTAAAATAATGAGAATTTCCACCCACATATACAACAAAAATAATATATGCATGTGACCAGCTTTCGCATCGCCTGGGCACAATGCAGACGCCATGCTTCCAAAGATATATATTTTGCTTACTATTTTTCATATATCAGAGAACATATATTTGTAGAAAATATATATTTAAACATGGGAATATGTTTCCCCAATCTAGAACTTTTGTCTCAGTTAAACGAAGAATTTGCTTCCATGGTGATCACGAAGCACTGCCCATCTACGGCAGTGACATGATCTGCAAGCATAAATGCGAAGATTGTCACTGGCACCGTGCCCTTGTGGAAAGACGTGTTGCATCTTACTACCTTCTTCTATGCTTCCTGCAATCCGAGACATAATCATGCGACAGAGTTAACAAAATTGGATGAACAAATCCAAGTGAAAATTCCCAATGGAAAAAGAACAATACAAACTATGCTACGTGCAGTCCATTTTCAAACTTGTGCATCAGTCGGGACTCACATGTGCTTCATCCTCGTCGCCTACCTGTACATGCAATGCTGAGATGCAATGTCGCTCGGTAATCCACTCTCCCGTCTCCTGCATGGCGTGAGAGCCTATCCCAGTTGGCCTCGTGTCCAAACCGAGACGGCGCTCAGACGAGGTGGATTAGGTCAACTCCACCGCGCGACCATATCTTGTCCGGTCCCGTTCGTTTGGGGTAAAAGGGATAAACGAGACGGCCCAGCGCGGGGGAGCAAACGGACTTTTGTTCGTTTTGTGTCCGTTTTCGATCCATCTGCGGTCCAAATTTGCGCCGTTTTTAGGGTGAAACGGATACCACACGAATGTCTGCGCGTGTCCTTCCCTGGCGCGCCCGTCGGTGGCACAGGGCAGGCCTTTTTCTATCCGCCCCCCTCCCTCCGGCCGCACCCCCTTCACTCTTCCCCTCGCTGCCACCACCGCCGCTGCCATTGCAGTCGTGCAGTTCGGACGCGCGCTCGCCCAGCCCCTTTCCCTCGGCGTCGCCGAGCTACCCAACCACGGCCACCTGGTTTGCGCATCCGCCGGCCGGATTTAGGGCGGATCCGGTCGGTTTTGAGCTCGCCCGACTGTGGGAGGCCGGGCCATGCCATGGACTGGCAGGGCCGCAAGGCCACATGCAGGCAGTGGCTCCTCCTCTAGCTGCTCGAATCTGCATCGTCGGTGGTCCGCCGGCAGATACACGAATGGCGGTCGGCCGGGCTCGGTGCTTGCCCAAAAGCTCGCCGACGCACCGTTGCCACTCATTAAGTGCGACCACTGCCCAAGGACGGTCGTGCGCCACGTGTCTACAACGCCGGAACATCCCGGATGGGTGTTCATCAAGTGCTTAAACGATGGGGTATGTGCTCTTTTTAGCTTCGGTTTGTGCTCTAGTTTTGATTAGTTGTGCTAACTACAAATTTTATTGTGTAGCATGGATGTAAGTTTTGGTATTGGGAAAAAGAGTACATCGAAATATTGATAGAGCGAAATTTAGTACACGTTCGTGCACTTTTAGCTAGCACAAAGGCTGTAGATGAGACAAATGCACTTGTTGCTAGATTAGAGGCTAGACACGAGACTAGGTGTGAGAAAGCAACATCTGTTGGCGCCGCCTCCTCGCAGCGCCGCTCTTCTTCTACCTCTTGCTGCCTCGCACAACTCTCTCTTCAATGGCTTCTCTCTATCTCTCTCCTTCTCTTGTCTCACACAAGAACACACACTACGCAGAAAAGAACTCATACACACACACGCATACACCAAAGAGAAGACAGCCGCTGCTTTGCCAAGAGGGTCTGCTCCTTGGTGAACACTAGTGCTACATCTTTTTCTCTAGCCCTCTCGGCCTCCCATCTCATTCATCTCTTCAAGTTAAATAGCCAGTACAGACGCACTAACCCACTAACTAATACATGACCTTTTCCTACGCCCACTAGTGCACAGACGACCCCATCTTTCCTAGAATCTCTCCAGAACTTGCACCATCGGCTAACAACTCATGCATGCATGCAATAACTAACCTATCTTATCTCTTGACTACAACTAACTTATTCAGCCGATCTGCCTCCAGCCATCCCACGCCTTGCCGCTTCTCATGGCAGCACGGTTGCCGGGCATCTCGCTTCCTTGCGTGCTTCATCTGAAACTTCACCGAAGGACAACTCGCTAAGCTAAGCTACATGCAGAATCAAATTTAACATGCTGATACAAATATCAAGATTAGTTCTAACAACATCTACATCTGGCTTGAAGAAGAAAGAAGGATGCCAGATCGAGCCTCCTCCACAGATCAACAATGAGTGCATCGAGAAGGCCCCAACCCAACTCAAGGGAGCAGTTATAGAAGTTGGGTATCTTCTAAAATGTATTCTTGTTGTTCTTATTTTTTTTGGTCTTGCTTTATTAGTCAAAATGTGATGATGTATTTTTAATGTACCAAAAATAAATGATGACAAAAAATTAAGGACTTGCAAAGAAAAATGTACGCGGATAGGATGCGGCCAGGATGCGTCCGTGCGTTGGACGCACAGCCACCGCATCCCAGAACAGGCCCGGACACGACACCATCGTCCTATCCAAACGGACAGAATCCGGATAAAACGGACGTCCGTTTGGGGTCACACGGTGAAGTTGGCCTTAGAGCCTCAGAGACCAAAACTGCAGGTGAAAAAGGCTTCAATCCTGGCGGAATTAAGCACGACAAGGAGGGAGGTTACGAGCTTGACGGTGAGCAGTTGGTGGGTCAGTCCCCGCGCAGCCGCCGGACAAGATGGCGCAGCGACAAGGTGGAACGGAGGCTGCAGATGTGTGGGTCAGAAACTCGTGCTGGGTGATAGAGGAGAAGCGGCGACGGGCATGGCGAGCTCAGCGATGTGCACGGGTGGACAGGAGAGGTGAAGGGAGTTAATTAAGGGAGAGAATAAA